CCGGAATTCTTTTTTACATCATGACCGTTGGTCAGTAGTTTCGTTATGTCAGTTTTGTTACGGTAATATATATAGGTTAATTCGCTATTTTCAGTGGTACTTATTTGCTACTTAACTTTTCCAGATTTTGTACTCTTTTATCTAAACAGTAGCAGTGAAAGATTATTCTTTGGTGATGGTGCTCATTTCAACTTCGGCTTCAGTATCCAATCAGCAGTTGCAGTATGAATCAGATCGGCTTGAGTCATCAGTCGTTCAACCAATCAGTAATGAAAAAAAAATGATATGACAGTTGTGATTCATCTTTCAGAGTAGTGATGATATGATGCCAGAGTTCCAACAGCGCTCTTCATCCAACAAATTTCGAACACCGTGCTTTCCACTTTTTTCCATCATACTTTCTTCAAGGACTCAAAATATATGCAGTGGCCTCAAATTGCTCTTCTCTCATTATTGCTTGGAGTGTTGTTCGCTAATGCGAGTTGTCTTCCAAGCACACGGAGCATCTGAACCTTGGTTTCCAGAGCTTCGTTAGCCGACTGTTTCGCAGGCAGGATGAGCCATAACAGCTACTGTAGCAGTTAGGAAATGCATACCTCACTGCACTCAATCATGCGATCCATACTTTTGCCGTTGTCCGTTTTCCAACGAATCATTATCATGGCGAGAATTCAGAAATGGACCATAAAATTTTAATCAATGATCTTCATTCAGGTATGTAATGTCGGTACCAAAAAAGATACAGTTTCGTGTAAACCGTAGAGCAGGAATTGAATCATCGGTGAATATTAAACGCTTCGAATTACAACTCATATTAAAGTATTACTAACCTGCGGGTTGAGTGAAAGTACAGGGCTAATTCGGTATCATTTCAAAATGCCTTACAATGGTAGGCTCAAAAGAGCGATGAGGTGCGGGTTGTGACGTGTATTTCACTCACTCATTCACTAACTCACTCTCAGGCACACACACACACTATTCATGTACTCTTCAACGTAGCCAACACTAGGCTAAACACAACATTTAATGCTGGCGAGGAGAAACAGTTTAAATCAGGTGCCGAATCACGCGGTAATGTGCCACAGAATGTTGACTCAGACCAGCTGATCCCGCAATCCCGCTGAACTAACAGATGTATTCGTACTAGTCTCGTTTCTGAACCGAGTTTGCAGCGAAGTGGTTCACCTTACACTAAGTACATACATGGTTTAATCCGACGATCGAAGATGCAGCTGCAATACATTCATAAATCAATCAGCCGCCACAAATCAATCATGGTTTCCTCAGATATCAGTGTCGAGTCATGGTTACACTTCTACTCCATCACAGCTTGTACCATGTAGTACATTTCTTGTGAATTACTCATTTACTGATCAGCTGCTTTTCATTACCCTAGCCGTACTGAAGTCACATTCATATTTTCGTTTAAACTTCCAGATACCATCCATTTCATCCTGTGTTGACTGGGCACCCATGTCATGGGGTAAGAGCATTATGCAGGATTTGCTTTCCAACCAGGGAGAAATAAAATGGCTCTAATCATTATGAAAATGCGTATATCAGAATATTATTGATTGAAGACTGTCCAAAAAAACTTGAAAAAATCGAATTCTGCATCTGGTGAGAAAGTTAATAATTTCGTATAATATATAAGTTAGTCCCTAAACTCAACCTCTCCCCTGAGTCGTGGGGGCTGGATAACGTCTGACGTCAGGGAATGCTTCGGTGTGCGAAACAGTGGTGGAATGCATTCACCCCAGGCGTTACGTTTGCCGTCAAGACGTGTCATGAACCCTGAAGCGGCGAACGGTTGACGAGGCCCTGATGGAGGTGTTTCACGGAAATCGCACTATTCATAGGTATGGATCTTAAAAAATACAGAATGCAGGAAAAGGCCTCCCGTGGTATTTGCGATGTAATATCTATGAACGT